CTTTATTTAAAGGCTGATAATACAGGTGGGCCGGCCCGGTGACGCAAGCGGTTAAGTGCTCGCGCTCCGCTGCGGTGGCCCGGGGTTTGCCGGTTCGGATCCTGGGGGTGCACTGACGCACCGCTTGTCAAGCCATGCTGTGGCAGCGTCCCATATAAAGTGGAGGAAGATGGGTATGGATGTTAGCCCAGGGCCAGTCTTCCTCATCAAAAAAAGAGGAGGATTGGCAGATGTTAGCACAGGGCTGATCTCCTCACAAAAAAAATAAATAAATAAAAAATAAAGGGAGATAATACATAGCATTGTTTATGAAAAAAAATCATACAACTATTTTAAGAGACAAGTCACTATGGTAACCATTTCTCTGCTTGAACTTAGAGAGTTAATGCCTTCTGCTACTGGAAGATTCTCTCAGCTTTTAGCAGCAGGTATTACATATTATTTTACATTGGGCTTTTTTTTTGTCTTAAATTAGATAAGTCTCCACGTTAGGTTACTTAATGGAAAATCCTTTAGCATTCTATAGAATAACTCATACTGAACATTTAATTATTAAGTGAAAGTTTTATTGGCTGCAGCATTCTCAAAGACATATAAAAATAATGATGAAATATCTCATCCAGACTGTTAACAGAGGGTCATACATATCTTGAAACAATTGGATGGTTCTGTGTCAATGATTTCAAATGCCCGTAAATTTCATTTTTTCCAGAAAACCATTTCCTGGATTAATAAAGAAAAGTTAATACGTATAACTCTGTATTTTGCACCAAGACAACTTTTTACGCACATTATTTTCTTACCTATCATTGGGAGATCTCCTTCCTGCTCTCCCATACAGGTATGCATGTATTATAATAAAAAAGGCTTTCCCAATCAGTGGCAAATATTTTCCAGATTTCTTGCAAACAGGAAAGACCATAAATTTTGTTCTGCTTTAACAATACTTCCCCAACCCCACTCAGGCCCCTTAGTACTTGCTGCACTGAACCGGAGAACTACAATTTCAGAACAATAATAACTGTCACTCTTTAAGCACTTGCTACGTACTAGGCCCTGTTCTAAGACTCACATGAGTATGAGATTTGCAAATTTAGCACAAGGGAGGAGAGCCAGAGACAGTGTGCATTTAACAGATTTCAGATTTATTTATAAAAAAGAGATAATATTTAGCATTGATTATAAGGGTGTCTCTTCCAATCCTCACAACAACCCTACGAGCTTGCTAGGGATCTTGGATGTTACACAGATCAACTTCTAAGTCCTGTGAATCCTCCTTGAATCAATAGTACAGATTAGGAAGCCCAGTCATTTTCGCCTCTGATGTCTTAGTTCCTGAGATGAAATAAGCAATGCACTGAATGTAAATGTATTAATAAGAGCTCAGGAACAATGCGCATACTGGATAAAGAGAAAAATTTGGCTGGTGAGACATAAAATAAATGTTTAACACTTTAAATCAGGAATTCACAAGACACTGATGATCCCTATAATAACACATAAAAGCACCACATTTGTTTTTGGTTTTTTTTTGCAATATCCTTGGTATTCTGAATTTACACTTTATGTAAGCAATGATATTATGAATACTGTATTTATACATGAGGGGGCATGGAACTTAAATATTTGCGTATACATCCCATGAACGTACTGTTGCCATTTGTTACTGCTGTTTCTCTTTCCTTTTTGTAAGAAGGTGGATGAGTAAATTACAGTAATAAAAAAGCAAGCATGCTTAAGTTAAAGGCTTTGCTTATGATTTTTGGTAGTTTGCTATCCTACGCTAGTATATGAAAGGCAACGAAATTATTTAACCAATTAGATTTTCTCTTCATAAACAGCTGTTAGTTCCAGTAAGCATGTTCACAAACTATTTTTCCAGTATTAATGAGAGCGGATATAACAAGACGGCAATGAAATGTGCTCATCGCTGCACCTGAGACATACCTGAGGGGCACCAATGTGATGAACTTCCAGTTAGAAATAAACTGCCTCCACAATACTGAAAACTCTAATAGATTAAGTGTGTCATCTCTTGGCAAGACTATTATGGCACTTAGTTTTTCCTAATTCTGTTCTATGCTTCATTTTTAAACATCAGCTCTGTTTATTTAATCCTGCAAAGACACCAACTGGTGATAGATGGATTTTTATCCTTTTAAGTACATAAAAAAGGACAATCTCTACTAATGATCCCAGGTATGTGTTCTACACCAATCATCCTTTATTCCCTGTAATTCCTGACAGCGAGGCCCACTCAGCCAAAAAGAAAGATACTATTCAATGTCTTTTGTACATAGGTAAATTATTTTATGCAGTAAAAGCCCAAAGGGCTTTGCAAAATTTCAGTTAGTCAGGTGAGCCGAGACTAATTGCTACTTTCTAGAAGGTCCAATAATCTGTCTGGCCCTTTGAGAGTACTTAGCTTATGAGTTATGCCCAATACCCTAAGGAAACTGAAATGGATAATTTCTTTGTTTCACTGGTGTAGGTTCAGTTTTGTTGTTAGTGCAGTGGAGTCCGGATTCAACTCCCAGTGACCCCGTGGACAGCAGGGGGATCCCTGCCCAGTATTTTGCGCCATCCTCTCACCTTCCAGCGCGTTATCAGACAATGCTCTGCTGCTACTTACAGGGTTTTCACGACCAAGGTTTCAGGAAGTGGGTGGCCAGGTCCTTCATCCTAGTCTATCTTAGTCTGGAAGCTCTGCTGAAACTTGTCCACCACAGACAACCCTGCTAGAATTTGAAATCCCGGTGGCATAGCTTTCAGCATCACAGTAACACGCAGCCACTACGATATGACAACCGACAGACGGGTGGTGTGGTTCCCAGTCAGGGAAATGAACAAGGGTCACCGCACTCTTTTAACCATGAGACCAGCAGGGCTGGCTGTAGGTTCAGACCACCTATTATATTAATCCTAATAACTCTCCTTGGAGGCAGGTAAGAGGCAGCCTTATCAATATTGCCACCCAGATAAGGAAAGTAGGCTCTATGGCCTGTCCCCCACCCCTAGACTGCCAGGCAGCTGCCATCCCAGACCTGACCAGGGGCCCATCTATTGGTCCTGAACACACTGGCCACTGAAATTGCTTTTTAATCAGCTTAAATGGGCTTGTTTATTTTCCACTTTTCTATTATTGAAATAGAAGTGGAAATCTGCTTTCAAAGAGCAGCCTATCAGCATCTTCTTCCTTGGCTCGCCTGACCTTCAGGCAGTGCAGCTGCCTGAGTGGAGTTAAAAATGGACTGTCAAGCTGGCTTGAATTTCTCTGGCTCTGCCTCCAAAGTCCTCCCACTGATCTGTTTATCACACTCTCCTTATCCCTTCTGTTGTTGTTTTTCTTACTAAGAGTTTTTAGCCTGGACAGCTGAAACTGCTTTTCAAGGCCCTAACCTACAAATCCTTGTACAACTAATCCTAAAAGACCTGGAGCCAACACTAGAACCTCCTACTTGTAGAAACTGTCTTCCCCTCCAGGCATCCCCTCCCTTGCCTCTCCTGACCCACCACCCTCACTGGGAATGACCCCTCTGGACAGATCGTCTCCTACTTGCACACCAAAGCGGAAAAAGGGTGGCTTAGTAACTTTGGAAGAAAACATAGTGCCTGGCTTCTCGCTTATGGGATATGAGAGCACGTTGACTCTCCGCACAGCTCCCCTGTCCCTCTGCGCGCTCGGGTTCAGACTGCGCACCAAGCCCCACAGGGATTACCCCTAGCGGGAGATAAAACTCTGTATCTCCATTGACCCAAACCCCTTCCAGACCGCCCAAACCCAAGTTCCTCCCTTAACTGGGTTCGCCAGGAACTTCTGCCCCTGGGAATGACAATTGCTCCCAGCGATCCTGTGGGTGGAGGAAGCAGCTAAAATCCCACTAATGGTTTTGTTTAGTTTCCTGGCAAACTCCTCTTCATTCAAGCTCCCGGAGCTCTGGAGCCAGGTCTAATTAAAAGAGTACCAGGCTTACCCTTCTCGCGGAGAAAACGAATTAGTCATAGATGAAATACACACGGGCTGCCGTGAGTGCAGTGGGTGATGAAGACCCTTCCTAAAATGCTGGAGAGCCTCCGATGCGGGATAAGGCAAGCTAGATCTGACCGCGGGCAACAGAAGATAGAGAAACTCTGGGACAGGACGCTGAGTAAAGTTGACTTGGTTGGAGGCCAGACTAAGTGCATAAATGATGCTCAATGAACATCGAAACAGATTTAAGCAAAGTGTTCAGTGTGACACAGCAAAGCCTCAGGTCGTGGTAACAGACAAAAGGGCAGAAAGCTTCCCGCCGCCCGGGACAGAATCTTAACAAGGTCCCCAGCAGCGTGAGCGCGCGCCGGGGAAAGGGTCGCGCACCAAAGAATCTAGGTTAGTGGCGGAGGAGAGGGGTCAGTTTTGGGCGAGTTGTGCACCCGGAACTGCGGTCACGGTGACCGTGGCCCACCTAGGAAACAGCAGGTGTCAACCCTTCCGCAACTTCATCCTCAACTGCCAGAGGCTCGCCTAGGGCGGCTGGAAGTGTCCGGGTTGAAATGTGACCCGACCCCGAGAGGGCGGGGCGCAGGCCGGGGAGGGGCGACGCGGGGCGGGCCGGGGCCGGGAGAGGAGGCTGGGCCTATAAAGCGCCCGCTGCCCCGGGGCCGGCGCGGCTCGCTGGAGCCAGAGCGGGGTGGGCTGCGCCGAGCCGGGTGCCCGTCGCTGCTCGGGTGTGCGGGTCACTGAGCTCCCGAGAGAGGGGGTCCTGAGGCCAGGGCCTGCCTCTGTGTGCCCCGCAGCTCTGCCAGCGAGCGCGTCGGCCCCGGCGAAGCCCCGGCAGGTGAGCGGGGCGGCGGCCTGGGTGCGGGCAGCGCGGGCGGGGGCGTTCCGCGTGGCAAGTCGGCTCCAAGTTTTGCTAACTTTGAGTTAGTTTCAGGCTACGGCTGTAGTTGGCGTCTCCGCCCCCGGGGCTTTGTAAACCCAACTTGCAGAGGCCGGTTCCTCCCCCTTGGAAAACGAATGCCTCGGCTAGTTCGCTCCGGGGACGCTGGGCGTTTTAGGAGCCTCTGCACATCCTGCCTGCTTTTGCACATCTGTCCTTCTTGCCTCCTTTTTCCAGCACCCGGAGAGGCCGTCCCGCCCCGCAAGGGAAACAGAGCCATTGACCATGGTTGCAACTGGCAGTTTGAGCAGTAAGAACCCGGCCAGCATTTCAGAGTTGCTGGACCGTGGCTTCCACCCGGGGAGCCTGCTGAATGGTGAGTTTCCCAGCTGCCCGCCTCCCTCCCCTCCAAAGGTCGCAGCCCCTGGATAGACAGCGTTGGCGGGCGTGCGGCGTCGCCCCCTCCTTTGATGTAGAGAGTGCCACAAAATCCATCCGAAGAGACTCCTTTCCAAACTTTCCACCATCTTATGTCCATGATAGTGAGAAACAAAAGTAGCAAAAAATAAAATACCCGAGGGCTGCATAGGTCTAGTCTGCGGCTAATGGGCTCTTTGTGATTAAACGTTCTGTAGGTTCCTTACCCCATGTGGTTTTGAAGTTATGGTGACTTTTAAGTGTACAGTTATGTGTGTTTTAACAAATGTATTCACCCGTGTAACCACTACCATCACCCCCTGTCCCTAAATTCCCATGTACCCATTTGCCATCAATTCCCCACTCCCTTCTCCCCTGTCCCCACGGAAACACTGATCTGCTTTTTGTCACCATAGGTTAATTTTGCCTCTAGAGTTTCATACAGATGGAATCATGTCGTATGTACCCTTTTGTATCTGGTTTCTTCCCCGCAGCCTAAGGATTTTGAGATCCTTCCATGTTGTGTTTGTATCAGTAGTGTTTCTTTTTATTGCTGAGTGGTATTCTATTTGTGGATATACCCATTATTCTGTTTTTAATACTAAAAGGAAAGTTTAAAACAGCAGCGAAGCTGGACATATTGTCATTTGCAATTTTAAGCAGCAGTTTCTAAGTTAACACACTGCTCTGCCACTAAGGAGCTGTGTGGGCATAGACACATTACTTAAGGTCTCTGGGCCTTCCTCATTTAGAAGCCAAAGTGGTTAATGA